AAGTTTTACCTAAATATAGCTTATGTATCCACGCTGTTTGGCAAGATCTATATCGCTTTACAGGGGCACAGTAGTGAGTACGGTTGGCAGGTGTCACCAGTGGTTAACAATATCTAAACCTGGGCCCTCACCTTCAAACACTGTCATTCAAGCCCGATGACTGACAGCATGGATAGGTTGTAAATTAATATTATTATCATCACCTTCAGCCTTTCTATTGCAGCTGGTATGTTATCACCATACCGATTTAAAGGATTGATATGAAGAAGTTATGCGAACATATTGTACAATATTACATGTTTATTACACTATGATCTGGTCATATAGTTTTTATAGCTCTTCAGTATGCATTTGTTAAATATTTATCTGAGTACAGTATAAGATATATTTGATCAAATTCAACTGGCATCTACAAATATACTAAGCCGTCCACAGGCTCGCCAACCTAGACATGAAAATCATCTGTCACAAACTTGCCGCTAGACAAAAGAGAAATTCACCATGAAAAATCTTCTGAAGAGCATTACAACTTTAGATCCCTCAAGCATATGGGACAGCTGACTTAACGGCATCTCTGAAGGTTTGGAATGGGTTTTAAATTGCGGAACATACACTCCATACATATGCGGGTTAAATCACTTTGGAATACCAACGTGGAAAAATATTGTGAATATATGCATGTTAAATCACTTGGAATACCAAAAAGCTAAAATATTTAGTTAATATATGCAGGTTAAATCACTTGGAATACCAACGTGGAAAAATATGTAGTTAATATATGCAGGACCCTTCCCACCAAAGCAGAATAAATTTCAGCTTAAAAATCAATGCGAGATGGAATTCATGCATGTGTTCTGGGCCAATAATCATCAATAAAAGTATGTTTATTTACTACAGAAGACATAAAAAAACGATGGCATAGTTTCAGCTGCACTTGCTTGTGTGTGTGTTAGAGCTGGGCAATTCCTTCAGGAATTAGATTCCTATGATTCCACTCTGGACTATTCATGGAGGATAGAAACTCTTCGATGATTTATTCCCATGTAAAAATTCCCATTAATTTTCACTGCATTCCAACAGGGATTCTGCCTTGGAAGATCGAAGAAACATCGGGATGAGACTCTAGCTGAGCAATTCTACGGTAATTGGCCCGATTATAGTCAGCTAGAATCTGGCCAATTACTGTCGGCCAAAATCACAATTGAAATGCATGGCAAATTATCCCAATTCTACCCCGAATCCGGCAATGAAGTTTATGAATGACGGAAGGACCAATGGGGGCTAGACGCGCCAGTGGAGGCCAGCGCTGGTTAAATTCTCATCCACACCCACGTGTTATATAAACACTCAGCTGCCCCGTGTACAAGCTAGGAAAATATACCTACATTGTTGCATGCATATCCTAGACTTTACCAATGCTTTGTTATGGCTAAGGACAGTACTAGGTCAGTCCCAAGGCCCCTGCTGCTGGCTTTCCTGTAAATGCTACGCCGGAATCGTGTGGTGAAAGCAGAGCAATTGCACACTACTTCTCTGCTAATGCCTTACACTTCGAAGAATCACAGAAACATTCGCAGTGCGATGCAGAATCGCCTTGAAACTCGCAAAACAGGCACTGTAATTGCTTCTCGTCGTTTCTCCATCACAGCCCCCGTCATCTAGAATGCCATCCCCCCTATTCACATCTGTAACGATTAATAATTTTCTTCGTTCAAAAACCATCTAAAGGTGCATCTCTTCAGCTCGACATTTAACCGAGTCTCACCGGACAGTGCGACGCGATCCGACACCGAACTCGGCTCCACGCCTCAGAATTGTGTCTTCGGTCCGCAACATTGCGGGCGTTATAAATTGTATTATTATTACTAGGCATCGCCCATACAGGCTCCCATTGACCATTCTTCCCTTCTTACTCGACTGCGATACTGCGCTACAACACTGTCAGGTCTCTCCCTGCTACAACAATTCCATGATCCCACAATTCTAATGATCCTCTTAAGAATTGCATTTGATTTGAAAAAAAAATGGAATTGGAATTTCATCGAGAATCGTGAGAATTTGCCGAGCTCTAATGCATGTAAAGTAGAAGGAATAAATAGCAATATACTCCCTAATTTACATTCTCCCTTTCAGCCCTCAAGCTACAATTAAACATAGAGTCTACATTTCCATGGCACACATTCATTAAGGCAATATAATTTCACAACTGATGTCCGTTATTTATAATGATGACATTCGCAATACAATTTCAGTTACTAAATATAGCGTATTAGTGTCCCGCGACTGAACTAAATTGGTAAATGTATCCAATATATTTTAAACATGATTTTTCTAACCGGCAGTTGTTTAATGGTTATTGAGAAAAATGACAGATGAACATTAATTTATGCGTAGTTCTGATATTTAAATGAAATTGTGCCCCATATTACATCAGAAATCTAATTGTTGAATCCATTATAAATCGTATACACTATAACTCTTAAAATTAGTGATACAATTTAAACCATGTTTAAAAAACAGAACAGCTTCTTTAAATACATTTTAATCAAACACATAACAAACATAAAATATTATATACCTTGAAAATACTGCCGAATAGAGCTTTGTAGATGGGAGTAGAATGTACTATATTTCTGTGCATCACCATGGTGCTTGCTCAGCAATAGACTTGAATGAATTAATTGTCATCGATTCATCTGATTATTCATGCATGGGATTGAGTGTGTGACAATCAATTACAATATTTATGACCTATGCAGATTATGGGGAAGTTGTTATATTCAGGTTAATGAAGAGGGGACAGACGCAAAGACAGGACAAAATGAGGTAGTAAAAATTAGATGAGAATAAATTATTCCTGGAGTTGAAGTGTGCTCCTAATCATGTAATTTTGAACGGGGTGCATTGCTAAATGTTTACAGCTAAGCATTACAATAAAATCAGGAGTGATAGTGTTCTGTTCTTAGGATAGATAATGTACTGTTTGCTGTTGTACCTTTTTTATATACGATTTGCAGTTTCGTTTTTGCTTATTCACAATATAATTGAAATGTTATCATTAATCTATTTGTTTTAGTTTCGTGATAAAATACTTACAGCCAGCCAATGAATGCATTTTGTAAGGTTTAAACTGTTTCTCAGAGTACAAAAACAATTAACATAAAATCATTAAAATTAATCAGACACGATCAGAGGCAACGATTTGGATCCAATGTGATTATCATTCCAATCACTTACTATGGTAGCAACGTAAAGACGAAAGATCGAATTGGTTGGAAATGGTGAAATTTCCCATTTATGACCTTCCAAGAACATTTTGGATTTTCGATTTAAAGCTTTCGTGACTGCAGGGATTCATCTTCTTGGTTCTTTCGGTAAAGTCACGTAAAAGGGAAGAAATAAAATAACAAAAATAGAACATAATAAAATAATTATCACGACGTTTCGGCCACAACGCAAGCAGCCGTCCTCAGGTGAAGAACATGTCTGTCGATAAGACAGAGTCTGAATGACACGTCCTAGGCTTGGAGCGTCTATTTAAGCTCTTCCTCCTCCGTCCCAGCTTAAATAGATGCTCCAAGCCTAGGACGTGTCATTCAGACTCTGTCTTATCGACAGACATGTTCTTCACCTGAGGACGGCTGCTTGCGTTGTGGCCGAAACATCGTGAGAATTATTTTATTGTTTTATTTTTATTATTTTATTACTTCCCTTCTACGTGACTTTACCGAAAGAACCAAGAAGATTTTGGATTTTGTGGCTCTCAAAATCCATGCAGTGATTTTCAAATTAGTGTTCCAACAGAAATGCAAGTGTTCTTTTTTTATTGGGAGAAAACACAGTTATGAGAAAAACGTTCGGCACACCTGCAAAACGGAGTGCAAGTGAGAACAAGAAGAAAAGATTAAAAAACACACATTGGTATGAAGGTCGTTAAGAGCTCCTCTTGTTGTCTGGCTAGGTACATGAGAGGAGAGACACAAGCTAGCACCCTGTTCACACAAATATAAACTCCTGGCTCGGGTTATTTATTGTTATATTACAGAAATAGCTCCTGTAAAAATGGAATGGGATAGGTTGTGCAAAACTACTCAGTGTTAGTTCTCCTAGCTTTCACATTATGTATAAAGTAAATGATCTGCAGAGTCAACAATCCAAACATAGCATTGAAAAAATAATACAACCAAAATATGTACTCACACATATTTTGCACTCATGAGTCAAGCTTCGATTTCAATGTGCATTTTGTGCGAAGTTATTCCTTTCCTTTTTGGAAATGCTTGCACACAAAGATTACTCTACAGGTGCAGCCAGAACAGATGGCTTTCCAGCATCCTTTGCCAAAATGTGTAAATGTTTTAACCAATTCCTGATTCGATTAGTGGTGTGTAAAATTATATTAATAGAATGCAATTGTGGTTTATACACAGATTCTTAATTATTTATCTTTAATTGTCAAATAAAACCTCATTAAGAGGGATAGGCACTAGATAAACAATACATTGCTATAGGTCAAGTGTTTTCGTCGTTTAAGTGTCCTTGTCATAGACATAACAAGACTGTCCAACGCCTTTGAAAGGTAGCAAAGCTGAAATTTATTATGCGGAACTGGACTTCCTCAGTTCAACTGCCAAAAAACATCGTGTAGCTCTTCTGTGTGCCAACTCAAAACCACGGAGAACTTGGCCAGAAATAACACAATGCAGCATCATGCGATTCACATTACGCACACCACAATATGTGGAGGTGCATTATAACAAGATAGTTAAATCCACTATTTAATCAAAGCATTAACCACTGCATATTCTTATAATGACACACCATTGACAATATTACTGTTAATATATATTGTCCCTGTAGTCATTTGTGTTACGCCGTAAGTAAATCGGACATTTTTTAAAGCCATCACTTATCCAGTTCAATTTAAACACAGCCTTCAAGTGAATGGAAATCTCTCAACTCAAACCACACTGCTACCAGTACGGGGTTAAAAGGCTTACAGATCTCCGGCGATTCATCCGAGCCATCGGGACAATCCTTCTCCCCATCGCAGCGCCAGCCCAGGGAGATGCACGTCAGCCCATCCTTGCAAACAAACTGCGTCGGGCTGCACGTCTTGGGAGCTGCAATGACACACACACACGTTTCCATAATGACCCACTGTCACAGACCCAACCGGTACTGCTTCTGCTGCTGCACGTGCTGCAATGTTATATGAAGACCTGCAATTTGAGAAGGAATGTTTTTTATTACACTCTTAAGACCTCTCCATACCACCATCTGGCTACTGAAATTGCGTTTCATTATCTTACAATAACAATGGTCACTATTGTTACCCTTCAACACGCAAAACGAAAGATTGTATTGCAATACAAAGCGACATTAACGCCCACGTGCATTTATTAATTAATCAGCGGTAGGTGAAGTCAAAGTGCGTTCCTGCTTAATCAAGTAACATAGGGGGGGCATCATTCATCTCCAATGGAGGTCTGAGCCAATGGTGTAAATTCCACATGTATATGGCAGGGGCCTTCCTCTTCATAACACAGATAGAGACCACTTAAATATGTACCCCTGCTCTCACAAAGATCTAAACAAACGAATCACAAAGAAATTGCCCCCACTGACATGCACATACCTGTCAACCCAGTGCCTACCTTATTACAGACCAATTCACACCTTTTTAGTCACCCCGTGCCCTTATAATTCTCAACGTTCATCCTACAAAGTCCCATCACAAGGGAGAAACACAAACAAATAGACAAAAAAAAGTTGCCTGTATTGAAACGGCTGTGCACCGTATGGACCTGAAAACTCAAATTCCCTGTACAAGAAGAATATGGGTAAACCGTATGGGTTGACAGGTATGCATATATACGCAGCCGCGTAAATGCGTTTGGATATTTTACCAGTTTCAATACTACCTTTGAAACTCCAAGCGGCAATGCAATGAAACTATGAACGAGTAACAGATTAATAATTAAAAACGAAAAAACAAGAGCTTAATTCTAGATTTGAAGTTGGTGTGACTGCAAGGATTCATACTCTTTGGGTTTTTCGGTAAAGTCACGTAGGTAAAAAAATTTAATAAATTAAATCACAAGAGCTTAATATTTCCATAGACATTCTGTTGACATTAACACCAACTTGCCTTCCTCAGGAAATAGTAGAGTGAAAACCATAATCGCCCATGTGTTAAATACATAACAAATATAATTGATTCTAAAGAACATTGTCAAAATATTTTAACCGTAAGTCATTAGCTTTGAATATTTGGAAGGTTGTCAGACCACGTGGGTAGAAGTACAACCTAAAAAAACGACGAACAGCAATCCTTTTCATTATCTGCATTTTATCCCAAAACAATTCTCGACAGACCTTTAAAGAAATAACCTCAGCTCAAAATTTGCATAAAAGGTGTAAAAAATACGTATGTTTTTGTCAAAAAATGGCCCATGTTTTGGAAGATCAAACACTTCTCTCAAATAACTCTAAGAAATGTGAAAAGAAATTTGGCCAAAAAGTCTAGACAAAACCAAATAGTTTTGGTATGCATACTGGTATATATGTGATCCATGGAAGGAATGTTTTAAACCTTAAATCAACAACACTGGATTACGCCATATTAAATGTATCCAAATTGTAGTTACATGTGGTGACTTTGAAGGTGGAAGCAAACAAGAGTGTTACTAAAGCCTATCGGAAGTTAACTTTAGCATTAAAACAGATAGCTTTCGTACACAGCTGCAAAAGCCCCTGCATATCCAGGAAGCAGAGATAAGGCAATACCTCTTTGATATGTTTGCCTCTAGGTCAGAGTACAGCGTGGTTTAATTAAATATAGCCACGAAAACAGTCCTCTATGGTAGACATTCGCCATCAGACAACACAGAATCCTTTGAAAGAAAGTTGTGCCACCCGTTCTGCTCAACTGTGCTGGCTTTAGAAGACATTGCTATGATATTTTATATTTTAAAAAATTCAAATAAAATTTTACTGCTAGGGGCTAAATTGACAACGCGACAAGTAATATGCTGTGTGTCTGAACCGGCAGGACATAAGGTGGATGGAATAATGGCTCCATAAATTATGTGGAGTATATTACAGGTACATTTTATGACAGGTAGATATACAGATGAAGAATAGAAATATACATTCGTGCGTTCGATAATCCACTACTCAATTAATCTACAGGTTGAGAATTTAAATGATGCCGATAGGTAACACGGGGACATTCATACGACAGTGGCTTGGCTTTCCAAAACCTTATTTTGGAATCGTGTAATAGCTTCCCTTTCATGTGTGTAATGGCAAAAAATAAACATAGTAACCCTTGATTTGAAGCTTTCGTGACTGCAGGAATTACTCTTTGGTTCTTTCGGTAAGTAACCCTTCTCTTGGCAGAGATATTATCACTGTGTTTTGTTCCACCTCTAAAATGAGGCCAAAGTGCCTTATAAGGCTTGCAAACGGTTCTCCACAAAAAAACACATTTTTTTATGCATGCATGTGGCCAATGGCGAAGCAACCTCAAATGGCATTGTATGCGTACACATACATTAATGCTTTACAATCAAGTAGCTTGTTGCAATTTTGCGAGTAAAAACTCAGGTAAAAGGAACACCAAATCATTGTCAGGCAATACAGTGCCAATATAGCTGTAGCTGTCATCATTATTTGCCAATAAACGGATTGTCATGATTTTAACAAAAAAAATCAATAAATATCGATTATTTATTACCTCTGTATAAATATCACTGACGGAACCCAACTCATTTAATGAATATCAATATAAAAAAACTCTTAATAAAGCAACCCATGCAATAAATATATATTTAACAGTTTCAGAAACTCAACACAATAAAACATCTATCGGCTCAATTTAACCCACTGATTATTATAGTGAAAAAAATAGCAATGGGTTTGTTTTTCTCCAGCTGCAGGAACTCAGTGAAAGCCCGTCAATGCATTCAAAGGCTTCCATACATTTCTGCACGTACAAGGGCATTTTTGGGCAAGTCTGTGGCTTCCTGCTGGCTGTCTGGAGGAGGTTATACATTTCCAGTGCTCATCTATGACTGCTAATAAAAAAGTCAGTTAAAGCTGAATTCAAAAGCCTCCTGTTTTTGTCCCGTTACTTTTTCACTGCACAGTTTATTAGCATCTGCAACTATTAGCCCAAACCAAGGAAATTACCAAATTTGTATTATATGTTTAGGTAACAAGACATTTTTTACAAACCACTATTGTTGGCTCGACTGTGTAATATCTGTACTGTTGTCGCAGGATGCCCATGAAATGGAGCCTAGCACCTTACTGGGCCCTTCCCGCTGAAATAAATAACATCTAATAAATGTAGCTTAAAGTAACCTGTTATCGGACTGAAAACCTATTTCTACATTTATATTTGCGTTTACATTTCGGTACAAATGATTACTGTGCCTGCTGTTAGCAATCTTTTTTATTTACTTCTTTTTTGACCATTGATCATTACATATTCAGTGAAGTTCAATCTTGATTTGAAGCTTTCGTAACTGCAAGAATCCATACTCTTTGGTTCTTTCGGTAAAGTCACGTAGGTAGAAAATAAAATAAATCACGACGTTTCGGGTGCAACACAAGCATCCATCATCGGGTGGGAAAGCGTGAAGGTCTGAAAGGCTTCCTGCTGTTAACATGCATACAAACAACAGCAATAGATTACTTTGTATACTCGCAACAACATTGATTTGTAACAAATTAAATAAATCATTCCTTTCATGCCATATCTCCACATAAAAGTGAAATTCATTTAGTCTATTGGCCTTTTGGCCTTCAAGACTTCTGTTAACAAGCAGCTTTTGTGTAAATGTGCAAATTCATGACAAGTTTTCCTTCTGGGGCTCAAACAGCCAGGCGGCTTTGCATTTTTAAACACGTTTCTGGTTAACATAAGTCTGCAAGGCCAAAGAGCTAATAGATTAGCATATATATATTATTTGTATGTGTAGCTAGTGAACACTTATGCATTAATGTGTTCCCCACAATCCTCCATCAGGTATACTTTGAACATTTGCTTTGAAGTTAGGTTTCTGTTCCAAACACACGACCAAGTGAACCCTATGGCAACAAGACTGTTCAAGTAACATGAGACACGTGTGTGCAGAAACCCAAAACAAACAGGATTGGATGGGGTGGCACTCACATGCAGATGAACATCAATTTATCACAATGTGCAAAGCAGAACCCTCCCAAATCAAGAGCCTTGAAAATCACCGTGGCATTCGGAAGTACATTTGAGCAAATCCAACTGTCTCCTACGCCATTGGGTTCCATACTAACTATGCTGACAATCCTTAAACTGCTTGAAGGAAATCGCAGCAGATGTGTCAGGTCAACCTCTGTTCCATAAACAGTGCTTACCGAAAACTGCCACTCGAAATGGTCACAAGGCCGACATTGCGGTTACACTGGGTGAGAAGACTTAAACAGACATCAACGAGCAGTCCCATTTAAGGTTACATTTTTGGGCAACTCAAAGTTACAATAGAATACTCAACAACGTGTTCTGTAAATCAAACGTGAAAAACACAGCATTATTTATACATCCACCTCCATATGTGGAAATATAGAAATATACAGGAGGGATGTTTTGCTGCATTGATTCATTAATCGGAAATTCTTATGCTCACAATTAACACGCCAAATTATATGTGAAAGAATTTAGGGTTTTTTTGGGTTTATAAACGTTGTATATAATGGGTCCACATGACTCCTCGAGCCACTGGAGATCACTACATTCACCATATTTTAAATAATTGTTTCTTTAATCAATCCCTGACCATGAATCGCAAATGATTCGAGTCCCAACGGGGGACAAATCAGTACACCCATAATATATGGAACGTGCTATTTCACGGAGTAAAAACAGCAGCAATGGACTAAAAAAAGAGTCCAAAATATACTAGTTGTAGGACTGATTCATTATTCATAACTGTGCACACCAGCAATTGGTGGAACGGCCTCCACTTTAGAGGGCTCTAGAGAGCCCTTCCAGAGGGTATTTGCCCTGCTCTTCCACATAGGCCAGATGTAACGGAAGTGGTGTGAGCTGCCACACTTTATATGCCGCCATACGCGACCT